CTGTATCCGCGCCGGAGGACATCTCCGAGGAAGAGAGTTCTTCTCCACATCATGTTGTTGAATGCATCAGACATGTAGAAGACCTCCTTGGAGAAGTCGACGCCCTCGGTTACGAGATTGTAGCAGTGAAGCTCCAGGGTGCGGCATCTGTTGAAGGCCCTCTGGTCGACGGCGACGAAGAGAAGGTGATCGACCAAGAATTCGGTGTCCTCCCCTTCTCCAAGACTTTGCAAGAACAGATCCAGCATCGCGTTCTGCTCCACGTACGCCTTGTTCAGTATCGCGATGATCAAAGTCCGGTTCTCCATGGCGACCCCCTCTAGTGCTGCTTCCAGTTCATCTTTTGGGGTAATCTCCGTCTGACCACACGCAAAATACAAGCTAGTTTCTGAGCTCTCTGTGCGTACTGTTCAGCATATACTCTGTGTGGATTAACTTACAGTATTTGCACCATGTTGCAAGCGGAAGAAAGCTGTGGGTACTCCAAGCGGCCATAAGCAGGCATAGATGACGACCAAAACGAGAAGAGGGGCGACGACGATGGACGCGGTGGCACGGTAGGCGATGGCGCCGGAGAAGCTCATGGCAATGATCGAGGTGCAGGGGAGATCGGAGAACTCCACTCTGATCTGTAAAGATCAGCTGCTCAGACTCCGCCTACATCGACACGCGGCACATGGATAAGAAGCTGTAACCACCACCGAGTCCTTTCATTCAATTGTTTAGGTATAAGTTGGCGCCGGTGATCGAGAAAGGCTGTAGTTCAAAGGTGACGTGCCTCTTTTGGCTTCTTTCCATCGAGATCTTAGGCATTTGATGATCCAAAAACTGGGGGCGGACAGATCGACGAAGGCTTATGGACTGTTGGTCTCACATAAGCATCTCCGGTGTTTACTTTTGTGGAAGACAGGAAGTCGGGTTGGGAGTTGGTGGATTTTTTAGCGCCTTGATCGTTACCATTTCTACTGCTTTGCATGTGCAAAAGCAATAATCATGTGTGTATATACATATATTTATACATAAATACTTATATATATGTACATATATTTATACATATATACATGTATATATATGTATTATAATATGTTTGATGAGAGATTTTAAAGAGTTGTGACTTACAATTTTATTATTATTTTCGTTATATCGATTCAACTCTTGAAATTTCAGCTCTCTTTCAAATGAGATTTGAGTTTCAAGTCTTTGAAATATTTGCTCTCTTTTATATTTGGTCCAAGTTGGGTTTCTTTTTCTATCACATTCAAAATGACTCATCTTTTTCTCTTGTAACCTCTCGCCGATCGTAAAAGTCTATTATCGATCACCTTCGAGTAAGGATTAGTAAAAGACTCCAAAGTTCTCCTTATGTTTCCTTTTCTTGCTCTTTGGACAAATCTTTTTTTTTTCTTTCTTCATTTTTGTTTTTTTGTTAGTTTTCATTTTACTTTCTATTACATATTTAGCCTTTACAGTTCTAGTACTGAACCAAGTAGATCGAAGAGTAACGGGTGAAACATTGAAGATAAGATTCAAACCCAAAATCTTACAATGAACTATTAATTTCTTTATCCATTAAATTAGCTAGTACCTTCAAATATGATAACAATATTATATGTGAAAATCATGTGAAAATCTAAAGCTTAATGCAATGATGATGTACAATCATAAGACGATTCCGTTCGAGTCTCCAAATCAATAACATAAATAAGATTATGTGTATTTACCATCCTAATCTAAAATCTAAAAATTAATGTACCCAATCTGTAAGCATCAGATTTGAATCAAACCTAACCTATAGGTTAGATTCCTCTACTTCCTGTGTTGTATATGTGGAGCTTGAGTCATAATTATAGCTTGATATTTAACATAAGACAAACATCATAGTAAGAGATCGTAACTACTACTAGGCTTTCATACACAACCGGAGTAGCTTTCAATAGCTAATCTTGTTCACTCTAACTAGATGTCTACTTCTTTTCAGGCATCTACTTCTATTTCATTACATGCAAAACGTACTTATACAACTACAATGTAGCAATTAATATGACTTGTCTAAAATCTGAATAGCTTTCCATTGTCTCAGTCCAATTCAAACATTTTAGTGATTGACAAGCTAATTTGAAAACTTTATATAGCAATAGGGTAAACTACAAAGCTTAGCAAGTCACTAACATATCTATGACGAGAGAGTAGTTCATACAGACTTAATATTAAGGTGCAAAACAGAGATACAAGAATTCATCAATATTATTTCATTAGATACAAGAATTCACAAATGTCATTTCATCATAATCATACTTTGTTCATAATAGTGGAGTAAAGAGTATTTGAAGTATATCAATACGTAAAAAATATTTCGAAGCATATTAATGACGTAAGAAATATTTAAGAGTATATCAATAACGTATGAAATATTTGACGTATATCAACAACTTTCTTTCACTTGCACCATCGTAAGAATATTGTAGATCCAATACACAATTAAAACTTGATAGTAAAGCTTCCTTATACAAATGATAGCAAAAAAACTATTCTTTTTTTTATTATAAAAATTCAGATCCCGTTTAATTCAAATAGAGAAAATTAGCTGTCATAATTGGTAAATTCACTATTAGGACCAATATGCATAAGAATTCTTGGACAAAAATATCACATGAAGTAGAGACTCTAGGAATTATCAAGCAAGTTATGTAATAACACTCTCCAAAGATGAAGTGCACCAAACAAGTAAAAAGACTTGGAGTGACATACATTTAAAGGTAGCTAGCTGTATATTTAACTGCTCCATTGAATATGAAACAAAATCTTTATAAACCACTTTATAAACCAATATAAATGTTATGGTTTCGCATAAACCAAATGCTACAGTAAGCTCTTTCAGCACTTCATTTTTTGGTCTGCTTTCTTTTTTGAATGACCATACCCTATGAAACATTAGTATTCACCTTTAGCAGGCTTTAAAATAAGGAAGTGTGATCCCAATTAGTTCCATATCACTGAAAATTTATATACTGTTATCATTACTCTTCTCAAAAATAGCCCAAATTGATAGAAACCATATTGCATCATCAACAAAACTTTCTCAAAAATATTGGAAAAGGTGAGACATAAACTTATAAATGTTATATAGTCACATATTGGAAGATTACTAGTAGTGTAGATGATTAGTAGTGAATCCATTAATTCTTTTTCAAGTCTTGATATGGATGATTAGCTCTCATGATGACCCGATCAAGGACTGCTGCAAACTGCATTAGATGTAGAGAAGCTTCTCGTTTGTGAATGCTGAGGCTCCTTAAACCAATGGAACGTGCTGACGTAGGGGGATGGAATGGATAGCCAAGCATTCTATACAAAACATTTCGTTTCTCTGCCACGGTGTTTTTTGTGTTTTCCCTAGCCACTCAATCAATATCAAACCAAATATTCTTTTTAGTACTTCCTCGCAAGGAGATCTAAGGGTTCAATTGGACAAAGCATCCGATGAATCAATAACGAGAGTTAATGTAGTATACTCATCAAGCTTATATAAGTCAATCATATCCCCAACTCAATTAGCTTTGATGCTCTAATCATTAGTGTGACCTCATATGTGTGACCTCATTAGGCGGTGGGTGAATTCATACAGTTTTATTATTTTGAAGCTCATGAGCTCCAAAAAAAAATATTTTTTAAGGTAAATGTGATCCGAGAGACTTATGAGTATTTAATTCCTCTATTCCACAATGAATGTGAGACTAAATATCGTTATCAACATACACAAATCTTAGGAATATATTTGGACTCAAGCAATCCAAAATCAAGTTCAATTTGCACTATAGCTTTGGGTATTCTTCAACCTTTAATAGTAAAATCTCTCTATGTGTATTTCTCATTGATCTTTTGTATCATATCCTAAATTAAAAAATAGAATATTATTTTATTATTTATAACTTATACAGTTTTTTATTTTTGAATTCAAATCATTATTTTTATATTAAAAAATATATCTTTTTAATAGGGTCACGAGTGATAAAAACATCTCCACCCAAACCTTAGCTCTACTATAAAATAGTAGATTACTCTAAAAACATATAGAATAAAAATATATCAATAACCACATATATTGATAGAAAAAATCATAAAAATAATTTTTAATATTCATGAGACATGTATAAATATCAATAATCTAATATAAAATGATAACATACTAATTTATTATAAAACTCATATATCAAAAAAATAATGATAATTTTTATATAGTAAACAAAATCATACATTAATCACATGTAATATATTGTGATGAGATACATAACAGTCACATAACAAATATGAATATTACACATGATGATATGCTCTTCCAACAATGGATGAAGAGACATACTCTGTGCGATGGATTCCTCCCAATAACGAATGGAGAAAACTCATATTGCACTCTCAATAGCGAATAAAGTAATGTCCATTATCCAACTAAGTGAGGATATGTTCCTCCCAATAATGGATGGAGAAATTATTTAACCATCACGTTTGAGGGACTATTAATTTCCAAAAGGAATCGTCCTGCCTGTCCTCGATAGAGATAAATAGTTAATTATAAGCATTCATTTATATTCGTCCATTTATTTATACATATATCCAAGTAGTATGATAAAATATTATGAGAAATCATGACATATGATATACTAGACTATGTTTATTGACGGCTTCGTATTATAATAGACCTATTGCTCCTTTCATAGGTTGCACTTCTAATACATATTACTCAACATAGTGATATATACTATATGATAATAATCATATCAATATCATCAATTTAATCTAAAAAATCAGTAATTATTTTCAAATGACATATTTAGATAAAAATTTTATATTTATCAAATTATAAAGACGTAAGGCATTAATCTCTATCTTCAATCAACTAGAACTCTAATTGGTATAGCCCAATTGACCTAAATGAAACTCAATTCAATTAGGACCTAACAAAACCTACCTCAAATCATTATAGAACCGATTTAAAATCACCATAGAATGATCTATTTTAGATTTGATCGATTTAATTAGGTCAAGTCGATTAAAACTTATCAAGTTAATCCAAAATCACCTTGAACCTGCTTGAATCAATCAAACACTAATTTAGTCAACTAATGGTCTCAATCAATAAAATGAGAGAAAATTTGACTATATCGCATAGTGCTATCCTAGATTGAGTCAACACATCTAAGTCTTCGACAGGTCACATGCGCCACACCTGCTTGTCTTAGGTAAGAAGTTGGGTTGAGGTACAACGGATTGGATAGAGGGGCGATGATATATTTAAGTGCTCGTCACATAGCTAGGCGGGTCTAGCTTCACAGGATACGTTGAGCCTCACTAACAAGTTAGGCTAAGTCTTACCATTAAATTGGGCCATGCTTGGCCTAGGGGTTGGGTTGTGCTTAGTCATATATATTGGGTCATGACCGATTAGATAGGTTGTGTTGTGCTTAGTGTTGGGAATTGTGAGGTGACATCATAGGCGTAACTAAAGAACAGAAAAATAAAATCCCATAATTCCTGCAGAAAAGAAGGTTTCATCATCGTGCAAAAGTTGATGCGTAAAAACCCACGA